AATAAATACTCATCTAAGGCACATCCTCTGCTCTTTATGTTGTGTCAATAATGCAAAACTTGCTCTTTTTGACAACAGAAAAAGGCAAACAAAAAACATGAATCTCATCTTGTTCCCTTTCAAAACCACTTGAACACGCATCATATCATACTCATGACCTCACAAGTCTTAAGTAGGAACTTCTTAGGAGGACTAGAAGGCAGCATTTAAACTAACCCCACCAGCACTGCTCCTCTCCTACCCTGGAAGAAGGTGGAGGAATCGAGGAGAGGAAAGGAGCAGAGGGAATGAAGAGAACAAGCTGAATTTTGGAAAATGCGACAATTGATTTCTTTCAAGGTCATTACATCTGATGTGATGAACTGAGCCTATCACACCGTTTGCTTTAAAGCAGGCCATTGATACTCTTGTATCCAATCACAACTGCTGCACAGAGCCAGCCGATTTGTGTGGTTTTCAACTCCATGATTTTAACAACAAACTGCAAAACACAGAGAACAATTTAATGTATAGTCAAACTGCTCCATGTTCGTTTTTGAACACAAATACAAGCTAAACTGTGCTACAGCCCTGCATTGGCTCTTCAGTTCATTTTTACTTGCCTTCTTTTTTGATCTGTTACCTTGTGAAAAATGACACATGCTGAGCAGCTGAACTTGAACATTTTTTAACCTGATTGAGTGGAAACTCAAGTAAGGATGTTTGATTGAATTATTGGTGCATTTCTTCTGGCCAGTAGTCTCAGCCATTGTTTACAATACAACTGGAAGTCATTTGACACTACTGTTTATGCTTCCGCATTAACGAATGCAGAAGTGTGAGAGTGGTCTAATGGCTGCCTAGTGTCAGACCTACCAGTGATTACAAAATCCAGGACCGGAAACAAGATTTAAGGTCAAGAGTTGAAGACATCTCCTGTAGAGTGTCCCATTTCCCATTTCAGATGCCTTCAGTGAGGAATGCGTCAGAGAGGCCTCAGCATCAATTCCCTGACCTACAGGTGAGGTCCGGTCAGAGAGGGTGATTCTGTTTACAGCTGTTTAAAGGCCTTTCCGCATAGCAGAGAAAACAATATTCAAGTGTGAGTTAAAATGCATTTATTTATTAGCCTGCAAGTCTCATGAGTCAGTCTCAAACGCACACTTCTAAACTTTGAGCCCTCAAGGTCTCTTGTCACCTATGTCTAGATGCATATGACGTCACTTAAGAGCAGTCTTTAAGAAGCACCATAGTGCTCATGCTGCTTTCAGGTTTTTCTCAGTTTTATACGAAGGACGAGTTTTCCAAAAGGAGGCACCACATTAATGCCCTTTCGAAGCCAGATGAAGTTGAATGCAGCATTAATCGGCCATGGTGTAATGTCAGCACTATTTTTCGTCATTACGTAGGAAAGAGGCAGGCAGTCAATGACGGAAAGCAATCTGATGATTAAATATAATGAATGTCTTTGGCAATCTGGCACATAAATATATAAAATAAATAAATACTTAAAACACAGCAACAATGCACATTAACTATGTAGGCAGGCTATTTATAACATCCTTATTCAGAATGGTCACAGCAGAAGGCACAAATGATTATTTGTACCCATTCTTCCTAGCTAGTGGGGCCTTAAATCTCCTGCTCGATGGCAGCAGCTGAAATGATGAATGAAGGGGGTGGGTATGGTTCTTGTAGGAGGACTGGCGATGATAAAATGAATTTTAAACATGTACAGTTAACCCACACTTTATTTCTGCTTTGTATGAGTTCAAAACACCAGAAAAATAGGCCAAATCAGATAGATGCCAGCTAGCTAATGAACAACACCTATTTCTCACATAAACCACGAGTGAACCATTTCCTCCTCTGAGAAAACTACCACCCCCATTGCACTTTAGGGTGGCCTTTGGAATAGGGTTTAAGAGTGATGGACTGCCCCTGATAAAGCTTCCCAGCACATGTATCCTGCCTCAAAGCCTCATGTTTGACATTCAAAATACAGAACATCACACCAAATATTGAACTTCTGTCATTCTTGTGATTTGAAAAATATATTGTCCTCTTGGCTTTGAAAAAATACTTTGTGCTCTTTTCTATACTTTTTCTCTTCACAAACAGTTCAATCTGCATCACACTGTTTAATACTGTGTGGTTAATTATTCTGGTAATTATTTCCTTTTCTACTGAGAAGTGTATGGAATCAATTGAATTGTTTCTACTGGTGTGAGAAAACTATGTGAAAGAAGTGACTCACATAAGCATCATTTTTTGTATTTTGACTGAATTTGCAGAGAACAAATAAACTTTATATCCTAGAGTCCTGAAGACTCTGGGATATAAAAAACCCGGTAGAAATCCTCTAGATTTGTGAAATGATCATCTCTACTCTATGTGAATCATAAAGTGGCTGGAGAATAAGAAAACTGGGGAGATACATGATACGGAAAGTAATAACAGGCAATATTAAAATGATGTAACTCTTCTATGAAACACTAGACCCAGATCAGAATCATAGCAGAAAGGTTCATGCACCCAAACAGTGCTTGCTCTGTTTTTGGGCTTTCTGTACGAGTGGAATCTGGAAGAAACTTGAACATATTTATAGAAAGAATAGGCCTTATCATTAACAGATACTCATGAACAGTACGCTTGATTCAGAGGTGGTGATGGTGAGACAGTTGCAATGTTGCTTCAAGTGAATCAGAAATTTTATTTTGAGTGTTTTTGAAATTTATTTAATAAAGTTATGAACTGCCAGTTTGCTGTATCACCTGTTTCATCGTTTTATGGCTATGTGGGAATTAGCTAAATAAGCAGGTCCATACAGATATCTGATATGTGGCTACAGATGCACATATATCATAAAGGCCAGACGTACATTTCATAATAAATGTGCATATATGCTGTGCATATGTAAGTATCAAATATTGGACATATATGCATTCATGTATACACCGATCAGGCATAACATCATGACCACCAACTTGTTTCTACGCTCATTGTCTATTTTATCAGCTCCACTTACTATACAGGTGCACTTTGTAGTTCTACAATTACAGACTGTAGTCCATCTCTTTCTCTGCATAATTTGTTAGCCCCCTTTTACCCTGTTCTTCAGTGGTCAGGACCCCCATGGACCCTCACAGAGCAGGTACTATTTGGGTGGTGGATCATTCTCAGCACTGCAGTAACAACACCTCAGTGTCGCTGCTGGACTGAGAATAGTCCACCAACTAAAAATATCCAGCCAACAGCGTCCTGTGGGCAGCGTCCTGTGACCACTATGAAGGACTAGAGGATGACCAACACAAACTGTGCAGCAGCAGATGAGCTATCGTCTCTGACTTTACATCTACAAGGTGGACTGACAAGGTAGGAGTGTCTAATAGAGTGGACAGTGAGTGGACACAGTGTTTAAAAGCTCCAGCAGTACTGCTGTGTCTGATCCACTTGTACCAGCACAACACACACTAACACACCGCCACCATGTCAGTGTCACTGCAGTGCTGAGAATGATCCACCACCCAAATAGTACCTGCTCTGTGAGGGTCCATGGGGGTCCTGACCACTGAAGAACAGGGTAAAAGGGGGCTAACAAAGCATGCAGAGAATTAGCATGCAGTCTGTAATTGTAGAACTACAAAGTGCACCTATATAGTAAGTGGAGCTGATAAAATAGCCAACGAGCATAGAAACGAGGAGGTGGTCATAACGTTATGCCTGATCGGTGTATATACATCTGATACATGAGTGAACACATAATATGTATAATATCTAGAGCCACAGTTAGAATTATTACAATATGACCTGGTTGCATTTATTAATTACATTATGTAAATGTTTCAGTAAACATTTTATTGATACAGTTTATGTCCACATAAGTGACATATATTCGTTGGATACAGGGAAATCCATATATACTGATATATGTAATAATACATTTGAAATCCATGTGTTACCATTTCAGATTTCCGTAACGGGAACTCCAGAGAGGAAGAAAAGGCGCGCGCTGTTGAATGTTACACTTCCAAGTGACGTAACTAGTTGTGAGCTGTTCAGTGAAACTAGAGAAGTCTGTGGATTAACGGAGTGAAGTTTGTGGACTGACTCTGTGACGAGTTCCTCGTCATCCTTTCTCTTTCCCTCCCTCGGCGCAGTCGTGTTTTTACCGTAGTAACTCCGGAACCCGTCTGTCCCTGTCAGAGCCAGAATGGCGTTCAACAATCCAGTTTCATAACCTGGAGGGAGGCGGAGTCGGGGTGCGTTCCAATGCGCGTGCTCGTGTTCTACCTAGCTAGTATGTGGAATTCGAACTACGTTTCCCTGGCTCATGGAATTCAACCGCTGACAGAATTCTTTGCTATAGCAAATGGTTACAGGTGGAATTCTACAAACTAGCTAAGTGTTCGTCTTAGTTCGTCTTCGTTTACGTGCCGGGTAAGACTTCAAGTTCGAATTCTACTCCCTTGCTAAGCATTCTAGTCCGCGTATTGGAACACAGCCTGTGGTGTTCTGGAAGCAGGAATATCGCTGTGGAGCGACGGCGCGAGCAGAGCAGAGGGAAAGTAGAGCAACAGTGAAGTAAGGAGAGGCAGGCGGGAGGGAGGGTGAAACGAAGGGACGGACTTAGCCGAGCCGAGCCGAGCTCACGAGTCCCAGTGCCTCTCGGAAGGTAGGCGCGCGCTTGTGTAGGAAACGCAGCGCCTGAACGCGGCGAATTGCGCGCTTTAACGTCGCGGTTCGTGAGCGGAACGACGCGCGCGGCTCTTACCGGAGCCAGTCAGCGAGGGAGTTTGCTGCAGTTTGAAGCGTCACGCAGCTCTTAACCACTTTGGCCGCTAACGGGAGAGCTGTGAATGTGAATGTGGCGAGTTGTTTGTACCGCTTAAAGCTCGCTGACTGTTGGTGCTGAAGCGGCGGATTAGGGGGCCGGGAAACAAGGCTAAGGTGGGGCAGAAGAGAGTGAAGCGGGGCTGAGCCCTCACTTATCTGCCCCCCTCCCTCCCTCCCTCCCTCCCTCCGCCCCCACCGCCTCTCTCTCTCCCTCTGCTTTCCAACTGAATCACTCCCACGGAGCTTTTTGGGAGAAGAAGAAGGAAAAGCAAGAATTTTCCGCTCGTTGGAATCTGGAGAGCGCTCAGAGCGACTGCTGGAGATTTCTGCCTCACTCTCAGCTCACAAAACTAGTTCCACCAGTGGCCCTAATCCTTTGGTATTTACCGCTGTGGACACATCTTGCTTTCTTTTGGGGAGTGAATTCCCCCGTGGTGTTGTTGGACCATGGCCGACGACGACGTGCTCTTTGAAGATGTTTACGAGCTGTGCGAGGTCATTGGAAAGTAAGTGTTCACTCTGCAGACCTCTTAACAGTTGTGCGTGCACAGTTGTGTGAGGGGTTCATTGTGTTTGTTTCCTCGTTTTCTGCCTAATCTCATTTAGTGGCGGTGAAAAGGCTGTTATAGTTAACATTACAGCACTGCTGTGGTGCAGTGACCAGCTCCAAAAACCACTCCTGGAACTAACCGTCCAAGAGCCTTAACGCACGGAGTGATATTGACAGCTACCTTCACTGACTGCCGTCAGAAACTGAACGGTGCTGGGGTCGTTTGTCTCTTTTACCTGCCTGAAAGCATGGAAGTGGGAGTGAGTCTGACAAGGTTTGGTCAGCCTGGTCAGGGTCCTGTGGGAGTGTCCTTTGTAAAGGTGCAGCCCTCAGGTGCAGGTGGCAAGGTCAAGAGCTTGTTGCTCTGGCAGACTTTGAGGAACCTGTGTCATCTGCTGTCATGTTGTTTTGCCATGTGCTCTCAAATGTGCCTAAAGCAGGGGTCTCAAACTCATATTACACCGTGGGCCAAGAGTATGATCCTCTCCAATGGGGGGCACCTAAACAATTGCAAGATTCCATGATTTATTAGACATACAGTCCTTTAAGCACATCTTGGTGAACTTTATGTTTTAGATAAGACACTTTGTAAAGAACAGGCTAGCATTTGCCAGCTAGCAGGTTTAGGCCAGTAATTAGTCAATTGTGATTAAAGCCCATTTTAACCTTTTAATAACATTTAATGTGACTAGATTAACAGCAGCATCAGTGCATAAAAAGTTGTGGGCTGCATTTAAGGATACATTTCCATGTTAAGGAGACAGCAAGATTGGAGGCTAGATGTGGCCCCTGGGGTTCTTGTTTGAGACCCCTGATGTAAAGAGTTATGAGGAACTGAATGAATCCAACTTGAAATTTTTTCAGCATTTAAAATGTTTTAATTAAAAAATGAGGGTGTTATATCGGGTGTTGGTGTGTTTGTGGGTGTGTTGGAGGTCACTGCACATTCTGTTGTGCAAGCTGCTGCTTTGTATCTGCTGATCTGAAGTTATGGACTGAGCAGAGTTACGGTTCTGTACTTGATGTTCTATTGGCTCAGCTATTGCATGAGAATAAGCAAAACGTTTGTAAGTAAGATGCTCTCGGTTCTTTCCAGCTGTGCTAATCTGCAGTACAAGTTTGGTGACTCTGGAGATTTTGTGACATAAGGGTGGGCCCACACATGTATCAGCAGGCCCAGAACGTTGAATACACACACTGAAACAAAGCTTTTAGCTGAACTGCTTGGTCACACGTGTAAGCATAGAAACAGAGCTGTACTGGTAGCTGCAGGCATTTTGTTTGAGTTTCAGCCTTAATGTTGTCTCTTTTAATATAAGTTGTGCCTTTTTTTAGTTGAAGAGGAACCAGATGAAAACAGCAAATTATTTTCTTGGACTGGACTCTTCCCTCTTGTATTTCCTCGTCTTTCTCACACTTCACGTATCTCAAATACTCCCACAAATAGGCAAACATTTGTAAGCATTTGTTAGGCCTGTCACAATTATTACATAATCGTCTTATTGCAGTTATTTGAGCTGACTGCAATTATTTTCCACAGTTGTTAACTTTCACAATCATATGTTTACTTTGCCACAAACACAATGTGAACTGGGTACAATTTCATCAGTTGAGGCAAATACATGTAAATGAAGAAAGCAGAACAGGGATTTACTTAGGCACATCAGGGGTCTTATGAACACAGTGAAATTTCTTACTTAAAACATGTTTAAACAGCTGCTGTGAGTGATGCTTGTTTATTTGCTGTTTGTTAATAACACATTTTGAGGCCTACGGTGAACGTTTGATTATTTGAGAACAGCCTCTGTTGTCAGTTAGGAGCCACTAAATATCAACAGCTAAGAAGCAAGAAAGCTAATCATCTGAGCTGGCTACATTAGGCTTCTACTTTTAATGCGGTTTTTCATAAAAAGACAATTAAACTGTTAATTGCTTTTAAAGAGTTTCCAGTTTGGAGTGATGCTTGTCTGTTAACCACCACAATTTTTCTGACCAAAATCAGGTAAAACTGGTTAAAGAGAGAAGGGTTTACATTATGCACATCAGTCACATGACTATTTTGACCAATCAAAATAGTTTTCTTTTTAACAGTTTTAGTTATTTATGGGGAATTTAATCATCAGTTAAAATTCTGTGATCATGGCAGGCCTAGTCTTTGTGTCTTGTCATGCTGAGTGATCTACTCTTTGAGGATGTCCACTCTTAGGCCCTTATGTCATCGTTAGACACAGGGGATCTATTAAGCAAATACACTTCCTCCTCATTCTTCAGGTCCAATCTCTGTATGTGGTACAGATTGCTAATAAAGCACTGGGCAGGCAGCCAAGATGATCTTGCAATGCTACTTTACCGTATCCTGTTGCCAAAACGTATCTATTCCCAGCATGTTGACATTGCTTCAATATGGACACTAATAATTTTTTTTATTTGTCAGAAATAGCATTCTTATCATTTAGATAATAGTTAGATTAATGGGGAGTTTGGTCAGGTTACAGTTGTCAATGATGTGAGTGGTAGGGTTCTTGCAGTGGAAAATTCACAGCACCGTAATGTTTGGGGGCTCTTCTGCTGTGGTGTTTGAGATCAGTGTCAGTATCAGGAGGTGTGGCAGGAGGGGTTGGGGTTTGGGAGGCAGGCTAGCATACAGAAACTCAGTATTTCATTCTTTAAAAAGAATAGACCTACCATTACCATAGATTTGTAGTAGGCTCTATTGCATCTATGTGCTCTGTATCATTATAGACACACACAACTGAATAGAAAGTAACAGCACATTATAGGCTAATCTGTGCTTGTTTCGCCAGAAGCTACATGGCCAAAGAAGCAAACAAAACACTCATGCAGTGCTTTTTTGTGCATGCTTCTGCTGGCATGCTACCAGCAGCAAGCAGCAAAAAAAGACACTTGAAGCTTAAAATTACAGTTTGTGCATGTATGGCAACAAATATAAAAGACCACACCTGTTAACCCCCTTGAACTCAACAGCTTTCTGTGTGCTACCATGTTGTCTATCACTTTATAAAAAATTAATGATGCTTCCTTGCTTGTTGGATGCATCATGTTTTATTTCTGAGTGCAGTCTAGATCAGTAAGGGCTTATTATTGATTTGTTTACTCAGTTGTTTTGTTGTTTTCTAGGTCAAAAAGGTAGTTTGTTTCACCAAAATATACTCAACATGTTGCAAGCATCGCTACAGCAGTGTGGTGCTGAAATGATCAGCAATTCTAGTTTAAAACGTGCTTTACTTTACACAGACAGCAGTATTATATGAAAACAGTAAAAGAAAGTATGTACGTATGTATGGTGGAGGTGTAGCCAAAGTGTTTGTTGCAGCCCTAGTGAGTCATATAGTCTCAGCCTATGTTCCTAGGACAGAATTACTTAGCTGGATAACGTAAATCAAAGGTTATGGCTGTCCAGTAGGACTGTGCTGTCTGCTGGTGGATAACTTTTGGCTTAAGCCACCTAGCTAACGGAAAAGTCTCATATTGCACTGAGCCTGTATTGTTGCTCAGGGATTCATTGCAGTCACACCAAGACCAAAATGTAGGAGCTGAGTGATGCTGTTGTTTGGAGCACTAATGCGCTAATAGCCTGAGACTGATGCCAGGAGGATGTAGCAGTCTAATGGCATTTTGCTGATGCATGGAAGAGTCAGCAAAGCAGTACAAGCTGGAGGCTCAGGTCTCAGTTTGCTGTCCAGCAGTTTTATTCCAATCAATTTCAAACCTGACAATTAAACCAAGCAAAACAGGATTAAGCCTTTAAAATCTATATGCAACAAGATTAGCTGTAGCAGATGTAGCGTTGATTGTACAACGTGTGTGCTCTTAAATATGTCAAGTTAAGTGAGGTTCTGCATTTGCATTCCCACCTAACTGAACCACCCAGGCTGGATGAAGTCTGCATATTCTATAGAGTTCTCTCTCCCTCTCCCTCTCCCTCTCCCTCTCTCTCTCTCTCTCTCTCTCTCTCTCTCTCTCTCTCTCTCTCCCTCTCCCTCTCCCTCTCCCTCTCCCTCTCTCTCTCTCTCCCTCTCCCTCTCCCTCTCCCTCTCCCTCTCCCTCTCCCTCTCCCTCTCCCTCTCTCTCTCTCTCCCTCTCCCTCTCCCTCTCCCTCTCTCTCTCTCTCTCCTTCTCTCCACAGCCGAATTATGATATGGCTTCCTGCAGGCTAGTCCGTGCTGAGTCGAACAGACATGCCTGTGGCTTTGTAGGAACCTTTTCATTAGATTGCTGGCCCCATAAGGAAGGGCACCACCAGCTGTTGAAGATGGCTGACTTTCATCTAACACTTGCCCATCCCTGAAAAAATGGGCCTAATGAAGAAAACCACCTAGCATACATTCCACTGCTCACCTCCAGAGACACGTGCTGCTCTGTGTTTTCTGAGCGAACCTCTGAATAGAGATAATGAGGTCACTAGTGTGTGTCACTTGCTTTGATTTGAGGACGAGAGGCATTCACCTCTGGGGACACCAGTTGAATGACATCCTGGAGCGGCCAGTTTGGAGCAAACACTGGTGAATGACAAGCATGACTTAGTGTGACAGTGTTGTGACTTTCTGCAGCTTTGCATTGCTCTGAGCTCCATCACTAGCAGGCTGTGCAGTGGTGACATGGGGTCTCGTGCTCATTACGAAGCTCAGTGTTTTACCACAGTTATGGGTACACTTTCCCGAAAGGCAGCATTTATAAAGCTGCATGACACCTAAAAAAGGCTTTCATGACAGCTAACATAAACCTATGTAGACTTTTACAACGACTTATTCTGAAAAGCACCAGTTGACGGAAAGGCTGTTTTTGTCAATTTTGATGTTTTTCACCTCAATAAGTGTTATAAAAACCGACATTATTGTTAGAATAAGGCATTATAAATGTTTTTATAGGTTTTTATCAGTATTGTCCTGAAAGGGTTGTGTAGGTGTCAAGAACACTATCCTTAAGAAAGGGTTA